CTGACACAAAGATTTCAAAGGGAAGTCAGGACCTTGGATTTTAGTCTAGCCCACTAAAAGATTCAACCTTTGTTTAAGCAAGTGCAAGAACCAGCTCCAGGTTTCCTTTGGTCTTTGATTTAAGCTCAGAGTGCTCTTTTTCCTTGTCCCTTTTCATTTCCAAAAGAAGCAGAAGAGCACAGAAATTCAAAAGCACACATACAGGCTGAAAGGTCCTACTCTTCACATTGACAGTATGTACTGAAAAAGCAGAGAAAAACGTAAGCTGCCACTTTCGAGGCTCTTATCACTGAAGTTTTTGAGAATCTTGCAAACATCCGTATTTGCTCAGTACTGTAGAGTGAGGGAAGCTGAAATAACGTGGCAAAGCACATTAGTTCAAATATTGAAAAACAAGCTTGATTTAGTCTCTGAAATGCTGTTTTTACAGGCCAGTACAATTTGGTTATACACGTATAACCAAGGCCACAAAGAATTGTTTCTGTGCAAGGTCCCTTATTTGGTGCCTTGTCTAATTGCACCTTCCCCACTGCTGCATAAGGAAAGCAAAGGGGATTTGGCTGATGTTTCAGCCTTAAATTGCTATTACGCAGGAGGCCCTCACAAGGAACTAACCTGAGAGGATTCAGCACAGAAACAGTGGGAGTATTGATTTTACACCGTCCGTAACTCCTCCTCACCTCCGCCGGAGAGTGTAGCCTAACCAGACTCCACCACCTGGCCCGAGAAAACTCAGTATGCGCAGAAGTCCTGCTTTTACATTCAGTAGCAACTGCAGGAGGCTGGCCTGACCTCAAGTAGTTGCAGCAAAGGAAATTTTGACCAGATATGAGCAAAAATTCCTCCTGTGGGCGTGGTGCAAATCTGGAGCCCAGGCAGGGTGAGGAAACTCCCTCCCTGGAGATTTTCCAAACACAGGCAAAGAAGGGAAGTCCCAGCTACCTTATCCAGCTCTGGAGCCAGCCCTGCTGTGGGGGACGGACTGGAGACCACCAGAGGTCCCTTCCAGCCTGAATGGCTCCAACACCACAGTACGGAGTCACGAGGTGCCAGGGAAGAGGCAGGGCTGCCTGTGCCCTCTTGTCGCGAGAGCATCAGTGCAGTCTGCACAAACCACCCGAACAAGGTCCACGGCAGAGGAGGCGGCCTGGGGCTGGTGGAGGCAGGTTTCCCAACTGATGACTGACCATTCAAGCTGGTCATGGAGTAAGGTTTCCTGCAGAGGCTTGAAACAGGATGAAAAGAGAAAACTCTACAGAGGGACGCAAGGACAATCCCCCTGGAATTCCCCCTGGAAACAGCGTGGACTGGGACACGAGTGAGAGGAAGCAGGGCCCATCCAAGCAAAAAGAGAGGGGAAAGGCTCTACAGCCAGGCCATGTGAGGGCAGAAGTATAAACAGAGCGCGATGAACAGAAGGAAGGATAATAAAAATGAAGGCAGGTCTGTGACAGGGAGAGAACAAGTGGGGAGATCTGAGGAATGCTGAGTCTGGAATAGCAGAAACAATGACAGAACAGCATTTTTGCCTAATTTAGGGCTGCAAGAAGGGGTGAAATAAGGATGCCCAGAAGGTGAACTCTCTAATGAAGGAGAGAGGTTTTGTTGGACCAAATTTGCATGAGGGGATTTGTGTCCCTAAAGGACACAGCCTGCAGGAGAGGACAGTGCGGCAGGCACTCTGCAGCAGAAAGAATGAGCTGTGCAAAGAGTGCAATTTTCCAAACAAGAACATCACATACAGCAGTTCTTGCTTTGTCCTGCACTGGGAAACACAAACTGTATACAGATAGACCTGCAAGATTTCCACGCACTCTGAGAGCAACACGGTCCAGGGAAGAAAGCACTGTTTGAAAATAATCTAGCATAGGCTTAATCTGGGTCTTGTGAACTCTGCCAGCCAGAACGTGTTGCCCAACACTGGAGAAACTAGATATCCATGGGATGGCTTGTACCACTGAGCTCTACCACAGCAGGCATTTTTCAGCCTTGTCTCCATAAAAAAATTGACTAGACTACCTTATATTTAATTAAAGTGGTGCAAATCCCCATGTGGTTACGAGCAACCTAAGTTAGGATCTATGGACAAAGGCACCTAGGTAGGAAGACTCCAGGTAGCCTTTTGAACAGCTTTAAGTGGCTTCATTTAATATTAAAATTAAAATTACACCAGAGAAATTCTCTCTCACATACAAGCCTTTCTTTAGTAATTCAGTCATTTTCTTCTCTCTTGCTGCGCTGTTCCATCAGTCCCCAACACTCTCAAGCCTCGCACAACAGGATGATAACTTTTCAATTGAATTGAATCAAATTAAATGCATTGTCCCTATATAATATATATATATATCTATATATATCTAAATATATATTTAATATATATTTTACACCCACCAATTTATACCTGTGCCTCAGTTCTGGTTTATGTTTTGTTTTGTTTTTTCTTTTTACATTAGGAACAATTATTTTGTTCTTCCCTCTCTCAGGCCACAGCATCCACTTACTGGGAGACAGGGCTGTGAGTCAATTCAAACAGTCTGCCAAAAAATCAGTAACACTTGACACACGTTACTGTCACTGAAGTGTATACTTGTCCCTTTCTTCAACAAGTTAGCAACAAGTCCCCCAGGCTAGCAACACAAAAATGTATTGTTGGTGTCCAGAAACTATACAGTGCAGATAACAAGAGGTTATCAATCAGAGTTTGCAGTTAACCTAATATGGAAAAATTAATTAAATGCTCAGCAACAGGAATGCATTTTACATGTCTTTTGGTCTCAGCACTTATGTATTCTTTCTGTCACAGTAATGTCTAAATCACACTAAAAGAACAGAGCTTCACTGCAATAAGTAGCATGGAAGTGGGCATGATGCACACTCGTTATCATGAAGATGTTAAGGTACGTCTAATGGATGCAACTTGAAAAGAAACTGAGCTATCACAACAACCTAGGATAAAGAAATGTGGGAAGAGCTGCTTCATGCCTAACTAAGGAGACCTACTAAAGCCCATAAAGATGGTAGTGCCCGTCTCCCTCAGCCACTGAGTGCTCCTCGAAACAATGGATGCTGTGCTCACTCATATAACCAGTCATTCAGGTCTCCTGGCTCACCCCGGCCTCCTACAGGCCTTGACAAGATCTTGCCCTCCAGATGATGGCAGAAAAGAGTCTAACTAACTCAGAGATCTCCTTCTCTTCTCACTCCCCGAGTTTCCGCAGCTTCACAGCATCCTCTGCTGCCAAAGAGCAGAATCGGATCAGAAATGAGGAAATGCACTAAGCCTTCGAGTGGAGATTATTGCTTTACACAGACCTCTGTAAAATTACTCTCTAACAAAAACAGCCAGATAATGAAGCCCTGACAGCTACCCTTGAGGTTGATCTGCTCTTGAGCACTACAGGAGAAAACAGCCCTGAAATGACAGGAACCCACTGTTTCGAAGAAAGACCCATACCTGGGTACAAACGCTGCAGGGTTGGGGTTTTGAGGCAGCTACTATTTTTCTCAGCCAAACCCTGTTCTAGGCTCTCAGTCAATGTCAGATCTAATAAATACCTCCATTTATTAGAAAATAATCATAAGTTTATTTTAAAAGATAGCATTAGTAAATCCGCTGCTTGAAAGAAAACTCTCATAGTTCAGTTCAGCACAGTACCATCATCCATTGTTGCACTGCCACTTATGTGTTTGCTTGAGAAAAAATGTGGCTTCTTTTGTTCGCTACTCTTTGTCGTTGTCCTAGTTGGTTAATTGTGCTGCCCCACACTTGATATAGCTTCCCACTGACTTCGAGGCAGCTGAGAAAGTAGAAAATCTGTGTAATGGATGTGGTTCCATCAGCTGCAAGAAAAATAACCTCTGAAATCTATCGGAATTTTAAGTTAGTACCTTCCAACATTTGCCCCTATATTAATCCATCTCCATGCTTTAATTTTAGAAAGAAAAAAGAAAGCGTAAGCACGTGCTGACTCAAATCAGTAGAAAATATGCTCATCAATTTAAATTGGAACAACAACAAAAAAGAAAACTATGCTCTGTGGATCTACACCAATAAAATGTAGCTAACTTGTGTAAATGTCGAATTCCATGGCTTTTTGAGGAATGCAAAATTTTCCTTAGCTTCCGTTTAATTTCTTCACCTTTTTGTGATCCGAGCCCTGGAACCGAGGCTTGTAAGCCATCTCCAGAGGGTAATGGTCAGACTTGATACTGTAGGTTAGGGCCTTGCACGTACGCAGCTTGCACTGTCGCAGCACACAGGAACCTCGCTGTAATGGTCACTCTCCAGAAATACTTAGGGTTCGGCTTCATGAACCAAACAGCACTGTAGGCGAGCTCAAGGGGGGTTACGAAGTCTCTGCACCGCCTAGCTGCTGCCGTCCGACAGTGATGGCACACGGCTCGCACCCGGGGCAATACATAGGACTGTGGCCCCTGGCTCCCCGCAAGACTCACGTCGGGTGGCAGCGCCGCCCTGAGGCACTGCAACACCTCGGCCCTTGTCTGTGCGGATACACATTATCGCACGCACATAAAAACAAAAACACCCCCCCACACACCAGTTCTGTGTTATGCACACGGGCTCGA